ATGACTTTATAAAAAGAAAGAGTGAGCCAAATATATCTCCAAACATAATGTGACTATTTGGTTATTCTTATCTGTGTCTGTGCAACAATCCTGAGTCAGTAGAATACAAATATCACAGTCTTTTCTTAACAATCAAAAAGTGAGAAAAATATTAAACATATCTTCCTCAGCTCTAAACAATTACTCCCCCATGCCATCAAAAAAGTGTCAGTTGCATTCCATCAAAATAGAAAAAATATTATTCCCAGAAACCTCACCTTAAAACCTCACATTGTTCAATTCTCCCCCCCCCCCCCGCCCTTTTTGGATTACTTAACATATGAAATGTATTCCTAAGCACTTTCCCATTTGCATTGTGTGATTAAAATGCAGACACATCCCAAGGACTATGCTAACTGCCTGAAATGGGTATTGAAGGGTTTGTTGAGGCAAAGGCACAGAAAACGTCATCCATCTTTCCCCCTCTTTGCTGCCTGATCTCAGGTTTGACAAGAGATTGAACTACTACAAATTGAGAATCTATTATCCTACTTTGCAAGCACTTTAATAATCCAGGAATAAACAGAAAATAATCTGATGCCTAAAGAAGATGCTGTGGCTCAGATTTCAGATGACCTGATGGTAATGCTCCCTATCTTTCCTCTTCCTCCTATTTAGGCAATGAAACAAATGTTGGGCTCCCTGTTATGGAAGATGAGAATCCTATGACCCAATTTGCTGCCCTCATCTGACTTCCCTCCTCTTCCCTTTGTTCCCCTGTGGACTTCTAACCACATCCCACACCCTCCTCTCACAAATTCGTTGGTCCGCCTTCTCCAGATGGAATCCCGGCAACCATGAGCTTCTACAAGCATGGCTCAGGTATGTGGGCACCAGGACCATTCCTCCAAACCACATGAGGTGCTGGAACTGGGAAGTTCCATCCCGGCTCCCAGTCTGTCCCTGATCCTTGAAATCACACCCTCAACCAACCCCCGGTGCCATCTTGCCACACTCAGCAGTGAAGAAACCCAGCGGGCAACACAACACCTGAGAATTCTCCGAGCCAACCGAGCCAATATTACCGGGGTGCCCTAGATGAAATAGCTGCAGTCTCCCTGCCTTCTTCAGATGGAATCCCGGTGACCATGAGCTTCTACAAGCTTGGCTCTATTTTGTGGGCACCAGGACTATTCCTCTGAATCACGCAGCCACTTGTGCAGCTGCACGACCTTTCCTGATATACAAAGTGAGCAATGGAAAATAGATGATCTGGCTTCTGTCCCTAGATGACAGGCTTGAATGGTGGTGGGAATATGCAAGCAAAATATAATGCACAAAACTATAGAGACAGTATCTGAGCAATTGTCTGCTGTAGAGACAGAGTATTAACTGAGGTGGAAATGGAGGGGATAATGGGGATATTGGTGGTGGAAATGTTGCACTGGTGGAAGGACGGGTGATCAATCATTGTATAGCTGATATCAAACATGAAAGCTTTGTAACTGTATCTCACGGTGGCTCATGCTTCTGGACTGTGAATCAAGCTATGGCCCCATTCCACCCCAGGGGGGAAAAGGACATTGCCCTTCTGCCTTCTTCCCCTCGACGGCATGGTGACCACCATCTGTCAGAGCCTATTGGACTGAGAGGTATTCGCCTGCAGTGACAAGACTCATGGGGCCTCACAGGATGGGGGCTGAAATTGACACTTATCCCCACCCTGACGAGACCCTGAGTTGCTGCCCACAAATGGCTCCTCCCACTTCTGAATGGCCATGATCCCAGATACACACAAACCAATCCTGGAACCCAGCGGCTTCTGGCAGAAATCCCTCCAAACTTGATTACTACAATATCAGAAATCCAAAATTGCATGGCTGTTATTGTAGCCACATGACATCATATGCTCTTCATTATCAGCAATAGAAAACAAATTATCTAATGATGTCTTCTCAGCAGGTCTGATAGTTGGGGGGAAATTCCAAATAATAATTTTTCTTTTGTTGAAAAATTGAATGTAATCAAAGTAGAGTAGAGTAATGTGGAAATCATGTGCCACATTGGCAGGGGTAGGGGTGGTGGGGGGTATACTGGGGTTCTTGGTGTTGGAATATGTGCACTGGTGAAGGGATGGGTGTTTGGTCATTGTATGACCGAGACTTAAACCTGAAAGCTTCGTAACTGTTCTCACAGTGATTCGATTAAAAAAAAAAAGTTCCTGGGTCACTGTGGTGTGATTTGTCCTAGAATCTACTTCTTTACAATTGTCTCCAGACTGGCATTTACCTACTGCTCACCTCTCAGCAATGTGTCACACACTGGGAGAGAAGGCCTTTCTGTTTCCATAGCAAACAGGTCTCACCTGGAAATATCTTGTCATCATCTATCTTACTTTTGTGTTTATTTGGCTTTGTTTGTAGGGGTGGAGGGGGAGAGCGTACGCTGTGGAGCTCAGAGTTTACTTCTGGCTCTGTGCCTAGAAGTCACTCCTGGTACTGCTTTGGGGGACCAAATATAGTGCCAGGGATAAAATCAGACTTGGTCCCATGGAAGACAAGTACCTATCCCCTATCTCTCTGACTCAGTAGCTCTTTATTCTTATATTTATGTCTTTTTACTCATTTGCCCCCTGCCATTAGGTTTCTCCCTAATTGTAGGTCTAATGCAGAGCCAGGGTGAATACAGAAATTTCTGTTGCTTGCCTGACTCTGTTATTTTCCTTTTTCCACTGTAGGGCAAGTAGAAGGGCTATCGCTTATAAAATCTGTGAAAATTCTCATTGATTTTCCCATTGAGGGTAGGGAGTAGTTTACAGGTCAAAGCTTTTTCTAACTGGGATCATAGAGAAAGTGTGCTTGAGTGGAAAGGTGCAGGGCCCAGCAAAGTGCCCAAATTTGATAATACCAGCACACTGTGAAGTCTCATTGCTCAGAGATCCCCAGGAGAGGCCCCTCTGGTCTCTTCAGTGCACTATGTCTATATGGCACAGGTGTGGACCAAGTCATGTAAATTCATGAGACTGCTTATTTCTTCAAAATATTTAGTTTGAGGCCAGATTTTTAGAGGCATCTCCTGAAAATGTTCATGGATCCAAGAACAACAGTGACAGTCAACTGGGCTGAAGGTTCAGAGATCAGGCCCAAAGAGATAGTCCTACTTGGGCCATGTGGTGACAAGGATGGTCACATTGCTCAAGGGCTTCCAGAGCTACACCCAGTGATGCACAAGGGTCTCTAAGGCTATCACTGGAGAGGCTTTATGAACATATAAATTTGATAGAGGCCTCTGGTATGCAACATAAAAGCCCCATTCCTTGTATTCTCTCTCTGGCCTCTGAGGCAGGATTTTAAGATTCATGGTCTAGTGAGGAGATATATGGAGAGAGACACAAATGCCTAGATCCCAGGGCTTCTCCTCACTCTGGAGAGTTGGCTCATGCTAAATGTCTGTGGAGAAAGGTTCAAAGATATTTTGTCTGACGATAAGTTAAATTCCATGCTGTACACTGTTTCTGTCTCATTTCTATCTTTCTCTGTCTCTCACACACACAAATATACACATTCTTGTCTCTCTGTCTCTCTCTCACTTGGAGATAAGATACAAGATCGGTGGAGAGCGAACAGTCTCGTACAAAGGAGACCAGATTTAGACTACTGACATGATCTCTGAGGTGTGTGACATGGAGACATGGGGGCAGAGTTGAAAGAAGCCATTGTCCACCATACAACTTTTACTTTGTGTCCCATCACCAGGTTATACTTCCTGATGTGCACTGTGCATTAGAACTTCTAATATACTCCATGATTACCTTGCACACTTACTTAATCACTTAATTTCCCGTTAGTCGGTGATTTGCTCGAGCGGGCACCAGTAACGTCTCCATTTGTCCCTGTCGCGTGCTAGTGTAGCCCAATGGCATCTGTTCGCTCTGGGAACATGAAGAGCCTCAAACCAATCGTTCATGATCTTCACGAAGAAGTCTGACCATCTGGTAGGTGGGCGGCCACGCGGTCTTTTGACATTCTGTGGAATCCAGTCAGTAACAGCTCTAGTCCAGCGGTCATCTTTAAATCTCATTACATGAACAGCCCATCTGATTTTTGACACCTTGGCAAATGAGACAGCGTCCCTGATTCTTGATCGTCAACAGATGTCAGAACTCCCGATTTTTTCTCTCATTTGAGTGAAACGTGATATTCCAAGCATAGCTCTTTCAATTCCTCTTTGGGAGACCTGAATAGCGTTCTCATCCTGTTTGTGTAGGGCCCAGGTCTCTGAGGCATATGTTAATGCAGGAAGAACAGTGGAATCAAAGAGATGTGCCCGGAGCCGGAGGTTCTTCATCCTCTTAGCTATTTCTTCGACATTCTTGAAGGCGTTCCAAGCCGCTCTCTTCTTCCTGCGCAGCTCGGGTGCCAGGTCATTTGTCATGTTGACCTCTCGACCTAAGTACACATAGCTTTTGCATTCGGAGATGGTGGTTCCGTTGAGAGCGAATGGGGCATCAGGAACGAGGCTGTTTCTCATAAACATTGTCTTCGTAAGATTCAGCTGTAGTCCTACCTTTCCACACTCACGGTCAAAGTCGGCCAGCATTTGTGCTGCTTGGCTGATGTTTGGTGTTATTAAAACAATGTCATCAGCAAAGCGGAGGTGGTGTAGTTGTCGACCATCTATCTTCACTCCCATTCCTTCCCATTCCAGTCTTCGCATGATGTTCTCGAGGGTGGCACTGAAGAGTTTCGGTAAAATGATATCACCCTGCCGAACCCCTCTCTTGACATCAACGATCACTTTGCACACAGCACATTATTTTGAATGTGTGTGAAAGTCAAGAATACGAATTTGTTAAATGTGAACACTGTTTGTAACATTCTGGAATTTCATTACATTGCAATAAGTTAGGAACCAGGATTTTAAGAGGCTTTTACTAGCAGAGTATCAATTATAGGATCAATAGACAGTGAGCATTCAATCTGTCCCATCACAAAGAGAAATACAATTCATGGATGACTCACCAAATGAAGTTTTTCCCAGAACTCAGGGCCCTCTTCCATCTTTCTAAGGCTTGGTGGAATGTACCAAAAGCAAATATTGGCATATTCAGGCTGTGGATTAAGAAAAGTTACAAGGTTTTAAAATTTATTTATTTTTATTAACCTCCTAATTAACCTATTATAAACCTAATAGTAATTTCAGAACGCGATTATACTCCTTAGCTAGTTTCTTTAGAAACTATCATGCCTGTATTACTGTGATAAGAAATCAAAATCTAATAAAAATAGACATCTATTCTACTTTATTTCTGATAATAGCATACTGGAAATTTTTTTACTTAGTACACCCATGGGGGAGTTCTTTCCTCTGTGCAAAGGATAAGCACAGGTTCATGATAAAAAAAATCTCATAAAATACGAAGGTGATTCAACCTAGCTCTGTTTTTATTTTTGTTTTGGGGCTATACATGGTGATACTCAGACCTTACTCCCAGTTCTGCAGTCAAGGATCACTCCTGGTGGGGCTTGGGTGGGTGGGGGGGGGGGGGAGCTGATATATACATGAGGGAGATACCATGGTTCTTCCCTTCAGTGCTCTAAGTCATTTCTTATACCATGATATCCTTCCAAGAATTCTTTCTCTAAATTCTTTCTCTAGCCAATGTTGTCATCTATTCCTGCTTTCCTTGACAAGTTCCTTATTGCCTGCTCTGATAAAACTGCTCATGTTGGGGGAAGGAGTGCCTGTGCAGCAAGTAGGGTGCTTGTCTTACTGACAGGGTTTGGTCCTTGGCATTACATACAGTTCCCTGAGCAGAAAGCCAGGTGTGCCCCCCCCCCCAAACAAGCAATATTGTTAATGCTGCTTTGAAATAAAAAAAAAAAAGAAAATAAGATCACCTTGACTCCTTGCTCTCAAACATCAATAGGGGGGGGGGGGGTGAATCAGAAGAAATTATCCAAAATGTAATTCTCAGTTCTGTGCTCAGAATGCCTAGAAACTGATTAAGTCTGTGAAAGAAACAGCTAAAAAACTGACATTTTGAGAGGCAACTCGGGTAATTCTGAAATAGGTAGTGCGTAACCTTTGGTCAACAAACAGATAGCCCAGTATCTGTCCCAGTAATCTTATTTTCTATAAGACATTATTTGGTTAATGATATGGGATATCATTCTTGAACAGGTTTTGTTCAGACATTATCATATAAAGAAGATCTCTACCATACCATTCATATTCTCTGAACAAAAACATATGAAGTCCCATGCTAATGACAATCACAAATAATCCTGTTTTGGAATTACAAACTAGATACAAGTACTTAGATCCAGAAAAAGACAATGAATCACATCCACCCCTTCAGAGCCTCCCTCATTTGAGTCTTAGCACTGACAGTATTTAAAATGACTTCCATTTCCCCACCACAAACACAGAGCAGAGGCAATAACCAATATTTTAACAGCTCTCAATAACCATCAGAGTTATGCTTCAGTGCCATTATAAAGTTTCAAGGTACTTCAGAAGGAGGAAACGGCTATCACTTTATATCTTAAAATCAAGATTGGTACCATGTAGAGTTCTTATTTTAGTGGATTTTAAATCATATTTTAATGCCCAGAAACACTGCTAGCTCAACAGAAAAGGTTTTGATCTTATCTTTCCTCTTCCTAAATTTGTAACATGCTGTATTTGACAAAAAAGAAAAAATTTACTAATACTCAAAATGTACAGTGGGTTCAAAGTGTACTTCTATACAATTCAGCTCATTTTCAGCAAACTTACATCATCAGACTTTGTCAGTCTGTTTTGCTGTTTTGTTTTTATTTCTGGGCCACACCCAGTGGTGCTCAGGGCTTATTCCAGACTCTGCACTCAGGAAGCACACCTAGGAGGGTTTTGAGCACCAAATGAGGTGTAGGGGATCAAATCTGAGTCAACTGTATGCAAGGCAAGCACCCTATTATTATCTCTTTAGTCCAAGATTCTGATCATCTCTGAAAGTTATGCAATTTAGAGGCAGATCTAGAATAGAATGTAGGAAGCATGCTTTCCAAGTGGCCTAGCTCAGTTCAAATTTCTAGTACCACATATAGTCCCCCAAACACAGCCAAAGGTCACCTCTGAGTACAGAGGCAGGAATCATCTATGATGCTTTCCAGGTTTGATTTCATACCAAATTTTACACAATTAGTATGTGAATTTCTGATTAAAATTTAGGATACAAGGTACTGATCTTCCAAATTATTTAGTCATGTTGTGTGAATACATCTTTCCAAGTTAAGTGATTATGATTGATTGGAAAGTAGAAAAAGTATTGTCTCAACAGATCCTAGGAACCCATATATTTTTTATCAAAGATTTTTCCCCCACACAATATGTAAGTCATTTATCAATTTACTACCTCTCAGTTCTAAATCCACCCATTTTTGGTGAATTTGGGAGGTTAACCCTAACAATTTCTCTTTACCACCTGGTCTGATTTTAGACTTGTCAGTAGAGGGAGCTGGAGGGACACTGATAAAGCAGAGGTACCTCTCCTGGCATCTCCTGTGTTCATGTCATGGGTCTCCTGAGCCAAGTGACCAGAAATCAAGTGACTCCATGAGCTTTTTCCCAAGACCAACTCTGGCACACTAAATCAGGTAGGTGAGTACTTTCAGTGAGACCTTCTGATCATTTTTCTGGCAGCGCTGTGTGTGTAGACTGAATGAGTACCAAGACATGATTCCTCTCTATGGATGGGATCCCACGGCACCCCAGAAAGTAAATTCTGGGGCTGGAGTCAAAGTACAGCCTTGAACGTGGCAGATCAGGGTTCGATCCTCAGCATCCCATATGGTCCCCCTAGCACCACAAGGGCAATTCCTGAATACAGAGCCAGAGAAAATCCTGAGCATCGCTGGGTGAGGCCCCAAACAAAACAGAAAGTGAATTCCTACAGAATCTTTTCTGACCCTGTGGTAGTTTGTTGAACTCTACCTCCAGTGAGCCACACAGTACCTTTTCCCCTACTCAGCTCTTGGAGGGAGCAAACTTTTGCCTGGAAAGTCAATTACTCTTAGGAGTGGTGGTTTTTCTCCATATCTGCTAGTCCTAAACTTTTGGGGTCCTCTTTCTCCCTGAAAGGCAATCCCCATAACTCCAAATCTTCTGTTAATGTCTTTGCATTGCACATTGCCACTTTAAATTACAGTACAGGTTTTTTTCTTGTTGTTGAATCCTGACTAATACATCATTAAATTAGTAATTCCGTTTTAGTTCCAGGACCCATGATAAAGTTATAAATCACTTTATAGTAGGTTTTATCTTCTGCCAGATCTGCATTATATTTTAAGTTAATATCAAGACCTTTTGAATCACTTCTTAAATTTACTTGTTTTAGTGACATTCCTTTAGTGTTGTATACTTTAGGAGCGATGTATCTATGATTCTTTTTGCCCAGTCTCTTTTAGAAAGTATGGCTTCAGGGCAATGGCAAGTGAAAACTTGTGAAACTTTTATGATATTTTATCTCATTGAACAAAATTTGGTGCTCCATTGGGTAGAAAGCTTTAGGCGTAATCTGTCATTGTCCTCCCATTGTTCATCGATTTGCTCAAGCGGGCCCAGTAACGTCTCCATTGGAGACTTTGTTGTTACTGTGTTTGGCATATCGAATACGTCAAGGGTAGCTTGCCAGGCTCTGCCATGCAGGCAAGATACTCTCGGTAGCTTGCCGGGCTCTCCGAGTGGGGCGGAGGAATTGAACTTGGGTCAGCCATGTTGGCTGCAACCAAGGTAAACGCCCTACCACTGTGCTATCATTTTCAAAATTGTTGTAATTGATTAAACATGATAAAATTTTCCTTTGAATATTCACACGGAACATATTTGAGGTTTTCATTTCTTTATTTTGTAGTTTTTAATATATACAATGATTTTGTTCAAGAGTTTTCAAAGATTAATGAGTATTTTCATAGTAAAAGTATTCACATGTACTCAGTTCCCTACATAGATGATGACTGCAGGTGTTTTAGACTCATATCCCATCAATCTTATCAACCATCATAAAATTGAAACAGCATTAAAAGGAACCTATCCATACATGAATAGGATAGTGAAGAATACAAAAGACTTGTACAATAAAAATTTTGTCATAATCTTTAAAAATTCATGGAGAAGTACAAAAGTATTTCTAAAGAGAAATAGGTACATATTATTCTGATCTTTGAACAAAACAGTAAAGATGCATTTTAAGAAATAAAGCATATATTCTAATGTCAGGAAAGATTATTAAGAGATGATAATGACAATATTAAGAGATGATAATCTCATTTCTATATGAGACCAATTGGAAACAGACTTGTGGGTGGGATGCAAATGGGGTTGAAGATGTAACTGGTGGAGTGAAGAGGACACTGGTGAAGGAACTGGTGTTGAAACATTGTATGCCTAAAACACAATCATGAATAACTGTAACTTCACAGTAAAGGTAAAGGCCCTCCCGTTGATCGTCGATTTGCTTGAGTGGGCCCAGTAACGTCTCCATTGGAGATTTTGTTGTTACTGTGTTTGGCATATCGAATACTCTCGGTAGCTTGCCGGGCTCTCCGAGAGGGGCGGAGGAATCGAACCTGGGTCGGCCATGTTGGCCGCTTGTAAGGCGAACGCCCTACCGCTGTGCTATCACTCCTAAAAGTTTTTTTCAATAACATTTTGTTTTATTTAATTTTGTTGCTGTTGTTTGGGGACTATACCCAGCAATGCTCAGGGGTTATTCCTGGCTTTGCACTCAGGAATCACTCCTGGCAATGCTCAGGGGACTATCTAGGGTGCTGGGAATTGAATTGCATGCAAGGCAACCACTTACCAATGTACTATCACTCTGCCTACCCTCAAATTTTGATTAAAAATAAATTTTTAGTATGACAAATCACAATATTAATATCTACGTAACATGTTTGAAGAAAAAATTTAGTTATAAAGGACAATATTATAAGCAGAATCTTCTATATCCTAGATATTAGGTTAGGCATTGAAATGAGGAAAAAGTTATAAACTATGCTTCTCTCTAGTAACTGAAAGACTAATAATGGAGCTAGATCAAGGGACTTAAGGTACAATGGAAAGAGCT